CCACCTCGGTGATGGGGGTGCAAGCCATCTCCTGGCGTAGCCATTTAGTCATCGAATGAAGGGCCTTCAGAAAGGCGTTAAATCCACTTTGACGGAAAAAAAGTTTATTTTAAAGATGAATATGTGGATTTGATAAGGGATATCATTAATTTTGAACTGTTTGCAATTAGAAAAACATTTTCAGATTTTAGCTAAAAAATGAAAAACAAAACAAAGACAAATAAATGTACGATTTTAAATGGCGCTAAAGCTACTAAATACTACGGTCATATTATTTGTATTTATTTAAATCTTATTTCCTTTAGCTATATATTCAAATTTTGGAAGATATGGTGCAGTTACCAGATGATCAGTACAAAAATGTAATTTCTTTATCTTTCAAAAAAACGAGGATATACTTGGATTTAGCGCCTTTTGAAAGTGAAATCCTCAAATGGGGGATTGGGCGATACGATGAGGGGAGAAAGTCAGAGAGACACGTAAGAGCGAGCATCAGGGGCGTACGCAGAGCGAGAGCTTGTCAAACTCGCCCCGAGGCTCACTCGCCTGAAATGGTATAACAATGTACTGAGGAGGGGGCGAAGGGAGTTAAGTTGGGGAGACTGGTCCTTCCTTGCCCCCTCGCTTTGCCACCTGAGCCCACCACTCAATTTTCAATCTCTCTTTCGTCCCAATCCATTCCCCCTCTCTCTTTCTCTTCTATCTTACCCATTTCCGTTATTAACATTCTATGTATCTTTAAAAGAGCAAAACATTTGCGACCGAAGTTAAGTAATTATGATGGAAATTAGCTGTGTACATTCCTCCAAGTTTCAAAGATTGTTATAACAGATTATTTAATTTTTTCCGATAAAGCAGCTACTACCAATTTACGCATGCCATCAAGATTAGCGAATGTCCACATAATAGACTTAAACATATATTATTAATTATATTGAAAGTCTTGAATTGAGATTCATTGTGAAATTACATTGAATTTCTAACATTACGCTATTATGTGTAGTTCCCCGATAGGTTTGAAGCGGAGTTAATAGTGAAGAATGTGTATTGTACTATCTATGATTTATAACAAATGTTCATTGTAATGTATTTCTAAAAATGTATCAACTGTTCTCTGTGATGAAAAATATATTTCGCATAAATTTATAAAAAGCTATTATTGATTTCAAATTGTATATCATTAGCCTTTAATGAAAGCAAGTCTTGATAAAGACTTAAGTGGTCTTTTGGTACAGATCCCCTTGCAAATAATTCAAAAATGTATTGGAAATCGTGTAAATATTCAATTTTTTGTTGCTTAATGATAGAGTGGATTTTGAACGTGCGTCCAGATAGACACTAGATTGTCATTATATCGTTCCAAGCGATCCTGTAGTCTGCGTTAGTCATTCTTATGGATGACTGATTTTGTTGATAGACGAGGCATCGTCCAGAGTGACTTACCCCGCATCTCGCCGACAAAACAAAAGAAAAGAATGCCCGAGCTCTTTTGTTCCCCATCCCCCTCCTCCTTCATCTTCCATGAACTCTGAAGGTGTTATATTTACGGATGAGAATGAGAAAAGGCCTGGAAAAGCACTTAACAGGTTCCCCTCTCCTTTTCAACTGAAATGAAGATTGGGCGAGGGATAAAAAGCAACTATAATGCGATATTTAGAAGAGATAGTACTATTTTAAATCACCTATTTTGGGAAACATGTGAGGCATGAAGGAATGATATGCGATACATAATTTATGTATGTAATTTATACATAATTTAGAAGTTAAAGGTGAGATAAGTGATAAACAGGGAAGTGAACAAATATAATACTCTTTAAAAGGGAACGATAGTCCATGTATACAGTGGAAAAAGCTCGTAGATGTTGAAAATAGGTAAACAAAAATATACAGGTATGTATACAGATAAACAAACACAATGAGTATAAATAATGCATATATACTTTCAGCGAGGAAGAAAGAGAGATGGAGAGAGAGAAGACAAACATGCCACAAAGATACAGATGAACTGAGAGGGGAGAGAGGAAGATCTATATATAAAGAGAGATGGGGGATAGGAAAGAGAGAGAGAGAGAGAGAGAGAGAGAGAAAGAGAGAGTATACAATCAAATGCGCATATAATTTGCATAAATTATTAATCTTATTTCCACTCATGCGATATTACTGCACATGAACATACTAAACACAACAAAATGAAAAAAGGCGATTAATGACGAACGCCCAAACAGATTCAAAATCTGCAGACTAGAGTATTTCGCTGATGAACATTAAATAGACACTCTGTCTCGGCTTCCCCGATAGATGGTTTTTAATGGACTATATACACTGCTATCATGATTATTATCGTCTTTCCAGGTATGACAAATCAAGCGAGAGAGTGTAATAAAGAGACAACAAAGTAGGCTTAAAAAGAAGATTGAGTTCTGGGAAGAGGTGAATTTGTGAGCGTTATTATTCTTATTATGCAAGTGTGGAAGAACATCAGATAACAAAATGTTCCCTGAAAAGCATGGCTCTTCAAATGCCTTCATATTCGAAAATATGTCATGTAACATCGTAAAAATCCAGGGTAGGATTTTTACGCCACGTGTTCATGTAGACCATATACATCTTTCTGTGTACAGTGTTTGTAACTTTACCAAGACTTGGCAAAATTTCTTATCATTTTGATGATTCCACACCGTTTCTTTCACAATGCAATCGCATGACCAGAACTCAACTTCATCTTTAAATTGCTTTGACTGAAATATAATAAAAACAAAGCTGTGTTACCCATTCATTTATCGTATTATAATATCGAAATAAAACAAAAGTGAATTGAAGGTTACGAACAATAATATAGATCTTAATATAATTCTTTTAACGATTCGTGATTGAGCTTGGTTGCTTATTAATTAGAAATTGTTTCTACTAGACTGCTGTTTTTATGTTAATAGCATATTTAAACATTTTCAGATACTCGTGACAATTTATGACACTCTTTATCACAATAGAATAATGTTAATGTCGATTTGAATTGTTATTTGTTGCTATAATGTGTTAAAAAGCAACTGATATCACAATCCTTGTAGTCATATTTCAAGTCATATATACTATCGCATGAGACTCCTTTAGACCTCGCCACCATTATGATATTTTCCTCGTTTACCTTTACGATCATCCCCCTTTATGATTCCACGAAAATAAGAAAATAAGTTAAATCATATAAATAGATGTTTAAAAGTACTCCTGTATTCATTTTTTCTTTTGGTCACCATATCTGGCATTTTTGTTCCAAATGTTTAAGTTTAAGTCTTTAACCCATTAACCTAGGTCCCACCCTTTGTCTTTAAACGCTATTTTAATCTATTTGCCAAAATATTGACAAAATTTCTTATGACGAATAGCACATGATATCGTCCATTCTAAATAAGAAATACGATTCTAATGTTCATTTGCAGTTGACCTTGACATTAAGGCTGTATCATAATGGAAGAACCGATTATTTTTTACCGCACGGTAACACAGGGAGACGACAACATAAACTATTTTCACACATCATGAGGCCAGTGATAGTTATATCAGGAGTTGAATTCCTTGTGATTATGATAGATAAAAGCTACTGATTACAAAGAATGGGGGACAATGACAATATTTTTACCACGGTGAAGTTTTATCAATTTGCCAATGTGGGAGAAAGGAATTAGAAGTCAAAAAGCGCAAATAATTGGCGGTTATACCAAGTTCATAGTTACGATTATAATTCGCTTAAGTGGATCGAGAAAGATAAGTGGTGTGGATTTAAAATTTCTAGATGCCTGCCCGTAAAGACCCCCTATAATGGGATCGCTAAAACCGCGCTAAAATGCGAACCATTCCGCCTTGTAATTAAGTACAAAAATGTGAACATATGGCGTGGAGGTTTTCCCGCTCGCTCCGTCCGTGTTTGAGTTGGCGGGATCGAGCAAGGCATCTTTCTTTCGTGTGCGCTGGCGCTGCGGAGCTCGCTCGCTCGCTCGCGCTAAGGCCTGGCATGGCAGATAGCGTAATTATACGAGAGTGTGAAGTGTTTGCAACCCCGATGCTTCGGGAGAAGGCTTTCGTGCAATTTGTCTCCCAGCCAAAGGCCATGAAATGAATCGTTCTCTATTTAATGCCATGTTTTCATCTCGATTTGTCCCAGGGTATATAGATTCGAGAGAAATGTTGACAGTTGGCATACAATGCCTCTAATACCGCAAGAGATGTCACCGATTTTAGACTTTATTTTAGCGTGTGCTTTAAATGATCTTCCTTGTCATTTCGAAAAATGAAGAAATGGAGTGTTAAATAGCTTTGTCTGATGACAAACGGAATAAAGAGTTGCCATTCGTACATAAATCATAGAGATGACATGATAACGGTATAAAAACTTAAGTCACTCTAGCTTTTTCATTTTAAATGGTTATTGAAAATTTTGCTTGTAATTTATTAAAACAGTTCTGTATTTAGATTGAAAATACAGGCCGTAGAAAATGTTCATTTTTAAAAGGCATTCATACTTCCTGAAAAGAAAAATAAATTATTATATTATGACTATTCTATAAATGCTTCAATGACGCAATATATAGACTAATAAATAAGTAGGCCCGTAGAACACATTAAACAATAGTCATACATGTTTTTAATTGCCAATGAGACATAAGATATGCAAGTATGTTTTGTATGGTTTGTGTTATAACAAATCCAACAAAAGTAGAGAACTGCGAGGTCCTGTCAAAGTGAGAAAAAAAAATATATAAAAAGAAAGAAAAACAATCCCTATGATAATTTAAAATTGCTGGTTCGATGTTCATGCTGATCAACTTAACGATGGCGACAAAATGAAGATGCATGTGTTTATGTTACTGGCAGACTTGCATTGTCTCTATATATAGTAACAACGAGAAGCTTCATTTGTCATTAAAGAGTTCATATGTCTAAACATTACATGCCATGTGGATAATAGTATTTCTTGTTCTTCTTTTGGTATTTTTTCAGAGGCTAACCTACACGACCTGAGAACAACAGGGAACGTCATAAAAAAGGAACTACATGCGATGGGCCCCACCCTACATGAACTCGATGACGTCATGCTTGAGTTCACACCGGATACGGAAAGTGGCGACGAAGCCGACATCGAGGGCGCCCTTGAAGAAAAACCAAGTACAGTCCAGCCGACAACCAAAGGCGGGAAGAAAGGAAGGAAAAATGCAAAAGCAAATGTGGGAGAAAACGGCGAAAAGCCACCGCCCAAAAAGCGAGGGCCGAAGAAAAAGAAGATGACGAAAGCGAGGGTTCAGAAATTTAAGGTGAGGAGGGTAAAAGCGAACACGAGAGAGCGTAATCGCATGCACGGACTGAATGATGCACTTGATCTCCTGCGGAAGGTGGTTCCTTGTTATTCGTCCACCCAAAAGCTCTCAAAAATCGAGACTCTACGCCTCGCAAAGAATTACATCCATGCTCTAGCTGACATTCTCAGGACAGGTGTCGTTCCCGACAACATCTCATTCGCGCAGACATTATCACGTGGTCTGTCTCAGCCAACCACGAACCTCGTAGCTGGCGCCATGCAGTTGAATCCGCGTACGCTTCTCCCGGACGACCAGACATCACCGTACAGTGCCTGGCCAAGCAGTGCCCCGATGAACGGCATGACCGATAGCTATGGCTATGATTTGTCGAACACGTCTTCTCATCACAGATTGGGCGAGAACATGACCTCAACTGGTATCTCAAATGGCGGTCCCTCTTCCATCCATCAACTCTTTCTACCCTCTGACGGGTACTGCAGCTCGCCACCTGATCTCTACCACCGACAGTACGACCCTTCATCAGCCACCGCTCCGACCTCCTCCCCAAGCTCAACCTTCAGCTGCCAGTTCCAGCAAACCTCCCCACCGCCGCCATCTTGCCTGACGTCGAGCGCCGAGAAATTCTCGCAGCGCACCCTCGCGTTTCCACATCACGACTCCCTCGCCTTTCCGACGGGGAATCCGGTGTATACACCTTACTCGGACATCTCGGTTGGTGTGAATGATGTTACTAGCACTTCCAGTCTTTATTCCAACACCGTGGGTGCTACACCTGAACACTATGGTCTTAATGCAGCGATGGCGGACAAAGGTTACAGGAATCTGGGACTTATTGGGTGTAATGGACAAGATTTATACCGCGGTTAACACAGGATTAACACCGGTGCTACTCCCGACACCTCACCGGCGAACGAAAACACCAAACTGGATGGGACTTATAATGAACTTGATAAACGTGTTTCGAGACATATTGTATTCTAGACAGACATTCAAACGCTTCTTTATTTTTACAAATCAAAATGTAGAACTGATGGAAGTAGCAGAGAAATCTTGATAACGACAATGCCTACACCGTAAACAATAGGACAAAATCGTTATTCACTAGTGATTAATCGCAGTTTGACGATGAAGAAATCATGTTTATAGCAAATGATTAATTGGTAGTTTAGTAAATAGAAAAAAAGAGATCAAGTGCTCTGCATTGTTGCATGGTGCAGAAAATTAAGAGCCTTTATCTTTCATAGAAAATCAATCAACCAAACAACTATGTATATATAATTTTGACAAGTGCAATATGTAATGCAGCTCTATTCCGTCGGATACAAGATTCATGCCATCCGTGTGCTTAAATTACAATTCAGTGTGCTATTCACAATATTGGAAACAATCTTGCCTTTTAATCATGAGTTGTGATTGGCGACCAGTCTTCCCGATTTTTGTATCGATAGCTCTTACGTCATATTTTGAAAGGCGGGAAAACTCAAAGGAACCAAAAGGCCGATTTCTTGCAGGCGATATATTTTTTAATTGATTCGGTGTCAGATTTAGGAACCATTTTGATGTTTGCTACTGTATTTATTAATTGTTTCAATTGAATGTTCTCCTTTGTCTTGGCAGCTGGGGCATAAATATTTATTTAAATTTACTGGATAACTTTTAATTTTTTAAAACATATTCGTTGCCGCAAAAAAGTGTAATGCTTCAGTCATTTAATATTAGGCCTTGAAGATGGTCTTTTTATCTACATTTTTCAATACACTATTTCGTATATTTGAAAGAAGATTTGATATCAAAATTCTAATTCTAATCCAGTGTAATATTTCATTTACGTATAGGTCTAGGAAAAATAAAAATGATGTCCATTTTAATGTTTCCGTGTCTCTTAACGAAATGAGAAATCAAATGACTACTTAGCCAAGATACCACCGTTTAGATTCCTTTAACACAATTAATATCAATTCCAGAACCCACATATTATTCCTCCAAGTTACTTTCTTTACTATGAATTCCTCTACTATGATATTGCAGTATTTATTGTGATTACTTAGTTGATGATGTTGATGTTATTGTTTATTTTCTTGCCATAAGATTGTGTTGAATAAAAACTCCCGGCGTGAACAGGAGGTCGGTACACTTCGGACAAAATTACATTCCGTATTAAAGAGTGCTTGTATAAAATGATAAATATCGCGTGAAAGTGTTCTTGCTTTTGCTTCTGCATGTTATATGAAAGATTAATACAATTCTGAAATATTCATTATTAGCAATAGTTGTGCTCAATAAGAATACACATATTATCACAGTCACTTCAACAAGATCGTTACCAAACAAGCAAAACACTGAAGTAAAAATACCGGTTACACCCTCTGTTACGGTTACTGCAAGTTAAGGTCACTTAATATAACTTTCAGTTTGTATGCCTACTTTTTTAAAGTGACCAGACAAGCTTGAGAACCAATTCAACTTACTAGAATATTTGTTTTGCCACGGACCTCATTAACAAAAGAGAGAGAGAGAGAGAGAGAGAGAGAGAGAGAGAGAGAGAGAGGAGAGGGGGGGGGGGGAGATGTGAGGATCACAGGCTTCGCATAATGCTCGATATGGTCCACGGTTACGGAAACCCCGGACCCCTCCACGCCTTCTTATACCCTTTAAAAGAGATTTTTATATTTTAAGGACAGACAAACAAACAAATTTATAATCAAACAATCAAACAAAGTTCCAAATTAGCTCTTGAAGATGAGACGGTAGAAAATTAAGGTAGGGTTGTCGATCATGGAAGATACAACCATATACCTTGACCCAGGGGCATGTATAACTATCCTTATACTTCAACGGCTGGTAGGCCACCAAGCTATACTAGAAGATGGTCTATATGGTGGCATTAATACCACATAATATGAAATTATTTAGAATGGCGCATAATTAATTCCTCTTTTTTATTCCAGTTTCAAAACATTGATTTTCAGTTTTTTTTTTTAAACTACAGATGCTGTACATGTACGTCATAATCATTCAATAACGAGAGAGTAGATCGATGCCTAGAAATTAGTGTGCATGTGTGTAAATGTGCGTGTGCACGTGTGTGTGTGAGAGGAAGAGAACAAAAAGGAGAGAAAGAGAGAAAGCGAAAAAGAAAAAAGAGAGAGAGACAGAGAGGGAGTGAGAGAAAAAGAGGGAGAGAGAGAGAGAGAGAGAGAAGGGAGAGAGAGAGAGAGAGAGAGAGAGAGAGAGAGAGAGAGAGAGAGAGAGGGAGAGTAGTTGTGGTTACATTATCTCTTCAAGCGCGTAGCCAGGATTTTATTTTAGGGGGGCGGTAGTGAGCACGCAAAGCGTGCGAATCACTTAAAGAGCGCGCGCAGCGCGCTCCCTAGGGGGGTGGGTGCAGGGAGGGGGAGTTTCCTCCCGCGCGAAGCGCGGAAGCTTTGAAAGAAGACGATTCGTTGTACCTTTCTCGACTCGCAATCCTTGTCTGAATTCAGTCCGCCCCTCCTGCGCATAGCGCGAAAGCTTTGACGTATTATTAGACAAAGAAGATGATTCGTTGTACCTTTCTCGACTCTTAATCCTTATCTGTATTCAGTCCCCTTCCCGCGCGAAGCGCGAAAGCTTTGATGTTTCATTAATTTATTAGAGAAAGAAGACGATTCGATGTACCGTTCTCGACTCTTAATCCTTATCTGAATTCAGTTTCCTCCCCTCCCGCGCAAAACTTTGAAGTTTCATTAAATTATTAGAGAAAGAAGACGACTCAAAGTACCGTTCCCGACTTCTTAATCCTTGTCTGATTTCTGTTCCCTCCCCCTCCCCCCCCTCTCGCGCGAAGCTTTGACGTTTCATTAAATTATTAGAGAAAGAAGACAATTCGTTGTACCTTTCTCGACTCTTAATCCTTGTCTGAATTCAGCCCCCCTACCTCCTCCTGCGCGAAGCGCGGAAGCTTTGACGTATTAATAGACAAAGAAGACGATTCGTTGTACCTTTCCCGACTCCTAATCCTTAATTTGAACTCAGTTTCCCCCTTTCCGCGCGAAGCGCGGAAGCTTTCACGTTTCATTAAATTATTAGAGAAAGAAGACGATTCGTTGTACCGTTCTCGACTCCTTTTCCCTTTTTCTTCCTACGTCCTCTTACTTTTTCTTCTCTTTCTCTCTCTTTTTTTTTTGGCCGGCGTTTTTTTTGGGGGGGCGACCGCCCCCACCACCCCCCCCCCCGGCTACGCGCCTGTATCTCTTCATGGGAGAAAAGGGACGTTTACGGAATGGCGCCGCTAACGCGTGGGTGATGTGACTACTCCTATACACAAGCAAATCCATAATCGTTATTGTCATTTTTGTCTGATTAGTCCGTAAATGTGGCCTGACGCCCCCCGCCCCATAATAAGGAATGTTGTCCGCCCAGTTTGATAACAAATGGACGTAAATACACCTTTTCCAAAATAATATGGACAAAGCTCACGGCAGAGAAGAATGGCGTACCGTACATCCAAGTGAAAAGCAAGTAATGCCTTGTCCAGCTCATACTCTGTCACGCACAAAACTTTTCCACCTAAAAATTAGATATTGCGGTATACGCTGAATATTTCTGATTTACTCGAATGGCACAACATCGAGATAATCATGTGTATTGAAATCTTATAAGTACGAAGTAAGGAAATAATGAAAGTGTTTCAACAAAGATCAAGGCCTATTCCCCCTCCTTCATCGTTTTCCATCAACAGGGATCAAATAAAATCAATAACAAAAGAAAACAAAAAACACTTTGAATGTGAAATAGTGATTAATTTCAGTGACGTGTCAATGTTTATCTGAAACATGCTTTTATTAAGTATAGCATTGATATATTAAATAAGAATAATAAAGATATATATATATATATATATATATATATATATATATATATAACTTTGCATGGGACCTTTGGGAGACATCATCAAAATAGGTATATTTGGGGGACATTTTACATTTCTGTTCAGACTGCCCCTATATAGAAACCATGTATCTTCTACAATATTAGAGAGTGCTTCTTATAGCAGCATAAATTGATGCTTTTACAATTTGAGTCAGTAAAAAATTCAATTCCAGATATAGCTTTTACATGTGCATAAAAATGTCTCCTTAACGTTTTTTTTACTCCAGATAGCACATTCAGGAGACAGTAATTTTTTTAGCCACCTTTAGGAGACATGTCTCCCTAATACATATTTACGAGCAAAATCAAATAACTATGCAGGTGCAACACGACTGTGTAGTTTTACCTGTTTACAATGTTAAAAAGGTATGAAAGCCTCATTACCATGCACCAGTACTATAACTAAACAAACAAAGTATTTTCTTACTTTAGTAACATAATATCGTATTTCATTTCAGTGCAGTTTGACAAGTACAATAAGCAGACACTTTTGAGTGGAATAAGTATATTAAGGAGACAATTCTATACATCAATGCACATACAAAAATATACATCTTATATGCATAATTGATGGGGGCGATTTTAAAGTTTAACACACGTATTATTTATATTCCAACGCAGATTCCTGACCTAGATTATTGTGCTCATGGTTATGAAACCAAACATATGTCATTGAAGTCCAGAATTTCATTTGATGTAATTATTATATAATACTTCATTCAAGTGTAGTTTGACAAAGTACAATAGGTAGACACTTGTGAGTGGAATAAGTATATTTAGGAGACAATTCTACACAATATATTATATATTGATGGGGGCGATTTTAAAGTTTCACATATATATTCGGAGGCGCTGTGGTGTAGTGGTTTGGGCTCTCGTCTTTCAATACGAGGGTCGCGGGTTCGAGTCCCACTATTGCCCAGTTGCTCATACTCTTCAGCAGGGGTATTTATCTGTGAACGCTGCTCCCTACCCAGGAGTGATGGGAACCTTGGTCGGGTGTTTAAAAGCCCAGAGCGCCCGGTGGCTGCCTCGGCTTGTATGCTCCCCAGGGAGTTGAGAGTGTGCTCAAGATAATTGGGCGGGTTTGCAATGTACCTGATGATCAGGGGGTAATATATGTGCGCCTTGAGCACTCTACAAAGGGGATGCGAGCGCGGTATAAATCGCATGTATTAGTATTATTATCGTGGATGGTACCTTTGGGAGACAATAGGGGGTTTGAGCAGGTATATTACGGAGACAAAATGAATAGGGAGACAATTTTGTGTCTCCCTAACGTTTCAGCATGTATTTTACGTACTTTCCAAACATTATTATTATTATTAGTATTATTATTTTCTAACGCAGATTCTTGACCTAGATTTTTGTGCTCATGGTTATGAAACCAAACATATGTCATTGAAGTCCAGAATTTCATTTGATGTAATTATTATATCATACTTCATTCAAGTGTAGTTTGACAAAGTACAATAGGTAGACACTTGCGAGTGGAATAAGTATATTTAGGAGACAATTCTACACAATATATTATATATTGATGGGGGCGATTTTAAATTAGCGTGGATGGTACCTTTGGGAGACCTTTGGTGGTTTGAGCAGGACTATCACGGAGACAAAATAAATAGGGAGACATTGTTTGTCTCACTAACGTTCCAGCATGTCTTTTACATACTTTCCAAACAGATCAGCTCAGTTCAACACATATCGGTTGCATCCGTTTTATTTTTCAACGCAGATTCCTGACCTAGATTATTGTGCTCATGGTTATGAAACCAAACATATGTCAATGAAGTCCAAAATTTCATTTGATGTAATTATTATATCATATTTCATTCCAGTGTAGTTTGACAAAGTACAATAAGCAGACACTTGCGAGTGGAATAAGTACTTTACGAAGGCAACCTTGCACAATATATTTTGTATTCATTGAATGGCAATTTTGAATTTTTTGTGCATTTATCTTCCGTATTTCTTGACGCAGCTTCTCTGCTTCTAAATGATGATGCATTGATGCTATATATTTCATTTAGTAGCGTTATATACTCCCAAGGGCGACGGAACCTATTTTTATTTTATTTTATTACTATTTTTATTCATTTATTTTTTGTGGGGGGGGGGGGAGGGGCAAAGGCCCCAAGGGACACTATTATGTTAAAAAGGGCACTTCGTGAGGGAGCGGAGCGACCGAGCGTGGGGGGCGGGGGTGTCTCCTTCAAACGGCAGGGAGATTTTTCAATTTTGTGGATCAGAATTACGTAATCTGGTGTATAAAGTAATAAGGTTTTCAAAACCAGCCCCAACCCGCTATCTATGTTTTTGTCTTTCCAGATAATCAAATGTATTACAGGGGGAGGGCGTGTCCCCCCTCCCACAGCAGGGAGATTTTTCAAATTTAGGGATCAGAATTACGTAATCCGGTGCATACAGTAATAAACCCGACCCCACCCCGCTATCTACGTTTTTGTCTTTCCAGATAATCAAATGTACTACAGGGGGAGAGTTGGAAGGGGGGTATCCCCCTACCCCCCCCCCCCCCCCCCCCCCCCCCCCCCCCCCCCCCCCCCCCCGCCCTGGTTCCGCCGCCCCTGTATACTCCACTAGAAAAACAAAACAAACATAATTCACACAATCAAACAAGCTCATGAGAAACGGACAAAAAAAATGACAAGATTTTGGCCACAAACTTTCTCAAACATGGTTCAACCAAAAGGTGTTGGTAAATTGTACAGGGAAACCCGGTTATAACGAGCTCACTTATAACGAGGTACCAGTTATAACGAGGCTAATCTTTTGACCCCGATTCACTTATTCATTTAAATGTTAATTGTGAATTTGGCCGTTTATAACGAGGTAAATTTGATAGTCCTGACTACCTCGTTATAATGGGGTTTCCCTGTATTTATGTTACTAAGGATATCTTTTAAATCATAAGATGTGAAACATTTGTGTATATCTTTAAATTTAATGCAGTAACAACACAGGGTTTGTGATGTGCATAGTGCAGCTCTACAAATATTCAATATTTCCACCTTTTCTGCAAATTATTTTGAATATTTTCTTTCCAGTATGTATGGAAAATGCCCTTAAGATAATCTTACTAAAAAGTTACAGATACAATAACAACATCGAAATGTTTGTACGGCTCAGCTTTTCCTATAATACAATAGGAACAAGGAGATTCCTGGTGTGTAGGAGACCCCTGTACATTTAAAACTTCTATATGAATGTTATGTTAAAACAAATGACCTAAATTTCAGATAAAACAGAATTTTAGAAGGTGTTAAATTGTCGGAATGGCCGTTCTTTATTCTGTACTAATGACTGAAATTTCAGAATTATATCCTGCGTTCATGAAATACCTTATGCATATTTTCTAATGCCTCATCACACTTTCTTAATTCAAAATGGACTGTGAATAATAAATTATACATGTACTTTAGTCTAAGGAAACTCTAATGACATATTATTTGATCAGGTTTTCCAACCCTCAAAAGATAGCGCTAATTTTAAAGTACATTGTACTGTATAGCCTTTTACTTTGATATTTGCAAATTTTGATAAACTTTTCACATAAACATATACATCATCCTTCTTTGAAAAAAAACACCAGCACTGTCCACATCGTGAATGGCAGTGCATCTGGGCTTCTGAATCCTCAAACATCAACCAGAATTAACAGGATTTCCATATTTACAAACATGAGAAACATTCTAACAACTTGATATAAATGCCATTTCAACTTAACACACAAAGAAGTTTTATAACATTGCAACTTTTTACAATAGATTGTAAGAGAGAATAAAAAATCTCATTAACAGAGAAGCATCTGAAACAAACAAGAGCCCTAGGGGGGCACAACGTTCACCCGAGGTCGATCAATTCACATCTGGCGCATGTTCTCTCTGGCACCCACAGGAGATATGAAAATGTTCGTTTCTCCTGGAGGCCACCCCCCCCCCCCCCCCCCAAGTTACCCCCACTTGGCCCCTCAGGGGCCACCCACATAAATGTCATGAACAATGTGTATTCTTCATAAATTGAGGCATCTGTAAGCATAATACCAGGTATGGCTTACTTCTGGATCTAGAGTAGATGTTTGGCATTTACATAATTTATTACTCTTGGGGACCTTCAACTGGGCCCCTGGGGCTGAATTGTAATTTATAAGCAACTATGGATCCCCTACACTTTAGAATGATTTCAACCACATTTGGATGAAATATAATCATTTATTTAAAAGAAGTAGAAAAAATGCTCATTTCACCTGGTAGTTCCCCCCAACATGTTATCCCCACAGGACCCCCTCAGGGGCTATCCAAAGAAATGTCATGAACAACTTTCATTCTGTATCAATAGAGGTATCTTTACACCATAGTTCTGGATCTTAAGAAGAAGATGTTTACAATTAACATATTTTTTACATTTGGCGTCATCCCCCAGGGCCCCCTAGGGGCCATGCCCACCATTTTAGCAACTTTGGTTCCTATACCCCTGAGGATGATTCCTGTCAAGTTTGATTGGAATCCTATCATTGGTTCTGGATAAGAAGATTAAAATGTACAAAGTTTACGCACAATGGACGACACACGACGCACCCATAAGGGCCCTGTGGGGGTAACATTTTTTAGGGGGCCCTACTACAATTTTGTTTCTTTTTATCTATTATTATTGGTATTATAATTATCATTTACATAATATATTCTGATGTAAACTTCAGAGAAATATTTGAAACAAAACCAAGTATACATGCAAGTTTCATTTTATGAGACACTGTCATAAAATAAAGTGAAGACCACCACATGAAATTTCAAAAAAGACCATTAATAAGTAATTATACTTCGGTCTCAGGATACCCTAAACATGTTATTTGGCAAATTTTTCCCACCCTAAGAAAGTAAAGATATTGTAAAAGTATAGACTTTTACCTGATAATTGCAATTTTGATAACCTTTTCATGGTAAACACATACATCATCATCCTGTGAAAAACAATACTTTTTACATGCTTTTCTGTAACAGCATAGTGTTCACATTGTAATGGCAGTGCTCCCAGAGTTCTGAATAGTCCAAAAGCAACCAGGAATAGGAAAAAGAGAGATAAACTGACATTCTTACACTGACATTTGGCATCCGCAAGTAATGTGATTCAGGGACAATTTGAGACAAGGTATCAAGTGGGCTGCTAGATGGAGACAGGGGCTGCTCCTGGTGAGAAGTATCAAGCGGGCTGCTAGATGGAGACGGGGGCTGCTCCTGGTGAGAAGTATCAAGCGGGCTGCTAGATGGAGACGGGGGCTGCTCCTGGTGAGAAGTATCAAGCGGGCTGCTAGATGGAGACGGGGGCTGCTCCTGGTGAGAAGTATCAAGCGGGCTGCTAGATGGAGACGGGGGCTGCTCCTGGTGAGAAGTATCAAGTGGGCTGCTTGATGGAGACGGGGGCTGCTCCTGGTGAGAAGTATCGAGTGGGCTGCTAGATGGAGACAGGGGCTGCTCCTGGTGAGAAGTATCAAGTGGGCTGCTAGATGGAGACAGGGGCTGCTCGTGGTGAGAAGTATCAAGCGGGCTGCTAGATGGAGACGGGGGCTGCTCCTGGTGAGAAGTATCAAGTGGGCTGCTAGATGGAGACGGGGGCTGCTCCTGGTGAGAAATAAATAAATAAATAAATAAATGAATAATAACAATAATAATAATTATAATAAAAATAAATAATCACATGAAACCAATTTTCACTCAAACCAGAATTTTATTGACTGTACCCAAGTTATAATGCATTTACAAAAATGTTTGTTAGGAAGTGGAAGTTAATTCACCCTGTCAGGTTGAAAAAAATTCATCTAAAATAGGGCAAATACTTTTTTTTTGCACAAATCACATGAAATTTATTAGGAAGTACAGGTGCAACTCTCACTAATCTATAAGAGTTTATCATTTCTCTCTCACTATTTTTTATGTTTTATCTCAGTTCTTTAATTTACCTTTTTAAAAATCTGTGTTTTTCTCTTAAATTTGTTCTGCAGCTGTGCAGCAAGTTATTAGTTACTTTCATTATGCAGTACATCTTGTACAACTAGATGGATACTCAACTGCTGCGTGCAATCAGAAGTATGTTACATGCCTTATTGAAGAAATTGTCAAATAATGACCTCTCCTATACTACTATAGGTCAAATGGTTTATCTGTTATTCCAAGAACCAGGGGCTAGTTTCATGCATTCAATCTCTGTTGCCTTTGATCTGTGACCTCATGACCCCCATTCTTATCAGATTATTGCCCTTTGTATGTGCATACATAATCTCACTTCTAAGTTGATATGTTAAACCATTCTCGAGTTATCGCAAGAACAAGCGATTTTCATTTACACAATGACCACATGACCTTTGACTTTTGACCTAATGACCCCAAAACCTACTTCCCTTAAATGTGCCTTCCATTTATATACATGATCTCCGATTAAAGTTGATATATCAAATTGTACTTGAGTAATCGTGTGAATGTGCCATTTTCATGTAAACAATGACCTCCGTGGCCTTCGACCTAATGACCCCAAATCTGATCAGATCAGTCTGCCTCCCAGTGCCATACATAATCTATGTTTAAAATTTCTATGTCATACCATTTTCAAGTTATCGCAACAAGTTATTTTCATGTATAAAGACCTCTGTGATCTTTGACCCTTGACCTCATGACCACAATTTAATTAGATCATTGTCCCATATGACCCAACATTAAAATCAATACATCTAACAGTTCTTAAGTTATCACAACGAAAACAGGACGGACTTTGGACGTACAGATGTATGGACGAAACACCCAAAAACATAATGCCTCCGGCATCACCTTCTGTGAGCGTAGGCATAACAATTATGTTTACATTGCCATGAAGAGTATTCCTTTAAAAACAACCCAAAACAAAACAAAATAAAAAAAGTCCCCTTTAACTACTCACCATATGTTTCCATGGCAGCTTTGCATCTGGTAAACCATAATCATAAAGTAGCTCACTGCCAACTCTTATGGTCTCTGAGGCAAAAAGGCACAAGTACGGTACATCTTCCACAGAAATAACCTTCATGTTACAGTTGCGCTCATGTGGCTCCCCATGATTTACAAGTCTTCCATAAGAAGGCCCCTTTTCTGTTTCCTCTGTGGCATCATAACTGAAAAAGGAGGACATATCATTAGTCTCCACGGATCTATAAAATTCAAAGTGAAAATAGAAGTGAGGTTTCCAGTGAGGGGAAAACAAATTTGTAAGATGTTTGTACATGGGTCATTCTAATCCCAACAAAAAAAGTAAGTCCCCCCCCCCCCCCCTAATCAAAATAGCATAATTTTTTAACGAAGAAGGTTCAAGCAGAATAACTTGGCAGGATTGTTACTACAGTTATGGGCAATTCCATTCTGCCCTAGAAAATGCCTACTTTTGTTATTGCATAAAATGTAACTATTTGTATTGATTTTTAAGTGTCTGTTCATCTGATTTTTCTAATTTTTCATAAAGGTGAATTTTCTAAGGGAGGACTTATCCTTCAAAAGCACATTTTTCATGCAGTCAGAATAAACCTGGCAAAAAAAATAAACACTTCTGTGTCCCATTTGGTAACAAGGCTTTATGCTAGTAATACTGGAGAAAGTTAAGCATCCTTCGTCTTCACTCTTTCTTTTCTATAGTCAACACTTGCCTAAGGCATAGGGCAAGAAAATATCATTCTTGTTTGTATGGAAGTTAATTTCCAAGAGTGACTCACCAGCTGGTTTTTCCCTTGAATGAGAAAAAATACCGAAAAACACTTGGATGGCCTTCATCCTCCTCCAGAGCTTCAGCCACACTTTCAGGTAGTAGTTTTCCTGGATACTGCAAGAGGAAATCTCCATTGTCAAATTCCTCTGGAGTCACTACTCCTCTTCCTGGAATAAGAGAGCACATTAAGCACATGTATAGTTGAGCCTCACAGAAAATATTTTGTACACTAAGCATGGGCACTTTCATGTTGATCATGGCCAGTTCCACATAAAAAAAACAAATTTTAGAGAATTTTAAAGGTATGAAATTGTAATAAATTTGACATGTTTGGAATGATGTTGAGTTACTGAATCTAGCAGTCAGATTGAAATTCATGTTTTATTATGCCTCCGCACGGAAGGTGCCGGAGGCTTTATGTTTTCGGGTTGTTCGTCCGTCCATCCTACAGAGGGTCAGAATGAAATCAAACTGTGCCAAAAGTCTTAAATGGTGAATGTGAGATTCCAATATTTTTGCATATGGGCTTTTAGCTATTAGCTGGTACTACTTGCAACTTTTTGTGTTATAAACATAAATGTTCAGCAATGTTTTGTGTAATTTAGCTCATTTCTATAGGGATAAAATGCATTGACAATGGGGAAAAAAGAAACTACACTTGAGTGCACAGGAGCTGTCTGCACTGACGTAAAGCACAAAAATAGTTTTGGCGCAGTTTGTTTTCATTCTGGCCCACTGTGCGTCCGTCCGTCATTCCGTAAGTCTGTCCGGATTTTTCGTTTACGTGATAACTCAAGAATTCCTGAATGGATTTGATCATACTTGGCCCAAAGGTACCCCATGACGTGCCAACGATCTGATTAGATTTTGGGTCAGATCCACCCAGGGTCAAAGGTCAATCAACTTTATCAAAAAATACTACTTTTACCTCGTTTACGTGATGACTCAAGAAATCCTGAATGAATTTTGATCATACTTGGTCCAAAGGTACCACTTGTCGTACCAGCGAGCAAGTTGGAATTTTGGCCATATTCACCCAGGGTCAAAGGTCAAAGGTCAATGAACTCTATCTGAAAATCCTACTTTCACCATCTAGGAATTACCAATTAAGTTGAAATTTGGTAAGGAGGTAGCAAAAAAGTAGAGAAACATTTTGGTGTAACATTGAATGTAAAAAGTTAAAGGCCAAGGCCAAGGAATTGGCATATCTGTCATTACCTCCAGCTTGGAAATTTGAAAGTCTACAGTATTACTTTATGGAATTTCAGTGTCATATACAACTTTAAGTTTAGCCTCCTCCACCAAATATTAATGAATATGGGTGCTATGCTAAAGTATGTATATCCACCCTACCTACATGTAGGCTTTCAAAATGCACTGAAATGCCAAAAAAGAACATAACTCAAAGACAAATCAATCAAATGCAAGTTTAAACAAAAGGGATTTAACATTGGGCTTAAAGCTTTCAAATCTAGAACTAAATGTGTGGATCCAATTATGAATTATACAAGAATGCGTACAGGAAAATTATTAAATCAACTATCGAAGCAATAATTGAGGAATGCGAAAAGGCGGAGCCCCACATACCAGTCTACTGCATGCAGTCAAATGTTTCCAGTTTCTAAAGGGAGCTGTTTGGGAAGGTGTGTTTATGCATGAGAGGAGCTGTCGAAAAAGACAGGTCCATGCAATGAAAAGGTGAATTTTCGGGTAAAATTGGCAGCGTGTGTCCCATGACCATTGAGAACATACATGGTACATGTATTGAATCATTGTAGTTGTGTTAACCATTAAACAAGCACTGTACAATAAAAACAAAAACAAACAAATAACAAAGATATTAGAACCCCTTACCTTTCAGAGGAATTTCCTTGACAACAAAACCTTGTTTGTCTTCCTGTTTTCTGATATATATCTCTGCTTCTTTGTCAGGCTTTATACGCTTCCTTCTTTGACCAACCATTGTACCTAGACAGTCCAAAAAAGAAATATGCAAAAAAGAAAATGTCAGTTCAACTACAAAAACACTCTGATGTGCAATCTTACACGGAGTAATATTAGCTTGCGCATTGACATAGCATGGCAAATGTTTAATTTTCAGGGTGTCAATTGAATTTAAAAAGGTGCACTATTTTATTTTCTTATATTGCAAATGAGTCTTGAACCCTGAATTTTTAAGTACAGAATCTCTTTAATAAGCAGCTCCTCTTCAAGCTGGCTAACATGAACATTTTGTTGCCTACAGCAACTGCAACTGCACTGCAATTATTATGCATCTTTAAAAATGTTAAAGCAGAAAATTTTATCAGATTGTACATACTTTTCTGGGTCTGCATTGTCTGACTCTGTAGTGGCCTACTGCTGGATACCAGTGGCTGCCTACTGCTGGACACTGATGGCTGCTGGCTGGCCAATGTATGACTGCCTGTTCCAACACCTACAGCATATTAAGAAAATTATGATCTTTATTTTGTTTGTAACCCCAACTAGGGTCATTTTCAGACATTGGCTATTTGGATAGGTCTTGTTGTCCTGAGACTTATTTAAAGTCTGGGACTTGGTATTATAGATCTGTTTAATCTGACCTCTTCTGCCAACCCAAATTGTTGTTTAGTTATGATATCTAAAAATGTATTTGTTTTGGTATTTTTAGGGATTGGTTTTTTATGCTGTCCCACGAAGTCCTGAACCCCATGTACTGCCTGTTTCAGTACGCCAACAAGAATACATGTAACTACTGTCTGCAGATCAACCTGGCCTCGTCCGTCAACCCAGACCATCTCCAGTAGGAAGATTCATCGCCATGGTGAGAAGTCATACAATATGTCTGCAGATGGAACATAACACTGATTTTGTTTGGGGTCCTGGTTGCCCTCCACGATCTTACCCTCTCTGGGGTGATCTTGGATGGGTCTTTGCAAACTAACTACTTGGTCCAGAATGAAATCAATATTATTGCAGTCATAAAAAGAATAGACTATTTCGAGCTGGACATGGAGATGACATTCGTTGCAGACTTTGAGATCCTAGGAAAGATCGAGACGGTAGATCTCAAGGAAGGCGGCAAAGATATTGACGTCACCGAGGCTATTTTATGACGAAAGGCTGCTGTGAAGAAACAAGTGGTGTGGCCAACATTCCACACCAGCCTCGGGACACCCTCTGGAAGAGCATCAACGAGACGAGACACCAGCAGCAGCGCCTCCACCACCATCATTCACTCGAGCGGCGGCGGAGGCAGTGGTCAGGTCTACCGCGCCACCACTCCCTATTCACGCTAAAACAGACTCTGTCTTTCAAGGTGGAGAAGGAAGATGATTATGATGAGTGTAGCAAATAGGACTATGTGGACAAACTTGAACATCCTGGAGGATATCCTAGATTTTGAAGTGGAAATAAAAAGATGTTTGCTGCTCGACCAGATTCATGTTAAAGCAGAAATTCTTCACGATTGAGGAGGACAAATTCAGGTAGAGAAAGATGATGATTATGACGTGTATAGCAAATAAGACTGTGGACAAACATGAACATCCTGGAGGATATCTTTAAATCTAGAGTGGAAAGAAAAGATGACATCTCACATCTACCACTCAACAGAATCAAGATCATATATTTATATTTATGGTGAACTGTCTTGCATGTACCCGTTTGTTTGTTTGTTTTCCTGTCCGCTGCCAGTCTACACAGCGGCTGTAGAGTCGCTCAAGTCGCGAAAAAGCTGAAAAGTGGGTGGAAGGGGCGTACATGGCAGGGGTACCTTTCCTGCATGCCTAGGAAATTGCTGACAAACGCAGACAAAAAACTCATCAATGTCTGAAGACGGTCATCATTTCCGTATAAAGATACTAGGAAGCCAGAAAAATGTGGGGGACATGTCGTCGTCCCCCCCCCCCCCCCCTCCCTTGTCAGATTTGTGTCCATGCTATTTCAAAATTACATGTATTTTATTCATAGATGATGCAAATTCAAAAATGCTAGACCTGATTTGAATAATGAAAAGTAAACAAAAATATATGGTAAAATCTCATTACTTTGAAGTGGTTTAATGAAGAGAAGAATGGAACTCAGAGTGAGATTAGAGTAGATTTTTAGTGAATATTTGTTCACTCATTTCATTTCACTCATTTTGGAGTAACCTCAGGGATCACTCGTGAACCCTGAGGTCAATCTAAAATGAGTGAAAAGATGTGTACGTTCGCACCAAATATAAGAGGAAGAAGAAAGGGGAAAAGACAGAAAAGAACAGAAAAAAGGAAAACGAAAGAAAGAAAAAAAAAGAAAGAAGAAATAAAAAGAAAGAAAGGTAGAGGGAAATAATGAACTAAAAATAGGATGAAAACATTACAAGATAGGAATATCTAAAAAAAAAAAAAAGAAAAAAAAGAAAGACTGGAGAAAAAAAAAAGAAACGGGAATATAAAAAAAAAAAAAAAAAATTGGGATGAAAAAGGAAACTAAAAAAAAAGGATAAGAACTGCAAAAAGAAAAGAAAGAAAAAAAAAATTATACCCTGAGGGAAAAACCCCTGAATTTACCAATATGCCCCTACACTTGGATCATGATTTATGAATAAAAAGTTACCCCCCATAGCCCCATAACACATCTTACAAAGTATTCATAAGTATAGAATTCAGAACCATTAAAATAAAAAATAAAATAAACACCATCATAGAAACAAACTACATAATCAAATCGATAAACAGAAGACCAATGTTTGATTTGTTCAAGATCATGATGATTAGAAGTTAGAATAACTCCAACAGGTTTATGATTATTGATATGATTATTAACTAGCGCTTGCCTGTACATACATGTAGACATGTTAAAATAATCTGGTACTAAAATCTGAAAAATGAAATGAGAAAACGGGAAAAAGACGAAATCTAATAATTAAAAGTCTTCTAATTCTACTAACAGGTAATAAACTAAAATAATGCGTCAATGGGCATGCAAAACAAAACAAACTTGCAATAACAATTAAAACATCAAAAGCGAAAAGAGGGAATATGACTTAGCTTTAATCTGCTCGAGCTTCGAATCAAAATTGACTGCCTGATCTTTGGACAATGTAAGCCTCTTGACAAACCTTTGTGGCTGAAACAAGACTAAACACGATTAATCTCATTTTTCAGCTGTGATGGCCTTGTCAAACGGCAAAGACAAGGTCGTAACATTTTTAACATATTATAACATGCATCTCTATGGCGGAAACTATTACCGCCATAGAGATGCACGTTATAACGAAATCTGAAGAAAAAATCTCGCGATAAACGAAAACGAGTGATGGAAAATGCTATGAAAATCTGCAAAATCGCCGTGGTTATGGAATAACATTCAAGCAAGACACGAGATCGATGAGTTTAACTATTATAGTAGCCCAAAATATATTTATTGCACCATACAGTTGATTCCAAGTGCCAAAATATGGCATTTTATGGTTGGAAATCGACTTGATTCCGTAAGTGATATACATGTATCCCTATCACCCGAGCTCTTTCGGCCCGTACTGCCCAGTGTATCGTTCGCATCTATCGCTAGAAGCAGCCGACCACCAAAAATACAAATTATGATGTCGAGGCAATGATAGTGATAGATTTATCGATCTAGCACAGGCTGGGCCTCCTATTCAGTTAGTGTGCAGCACAGAACAATCACATTGCCGCCATGCGTTATTTTTTTCGTTTGGCTTGGAATTGATTGCTTGAGGGGTATGAGCGAATTCACTTTGACCCAGTTGACAATGCGTTGTCATTGGAAATGACCAGATGCTAGCGTAAAGAACAGAGGCACTTTCGCGTGTGTGGCCGTATGTATGTGTAAGATACAAAGTATTTTACACATAGTATACTAGTATAGGTATGGACGGTCTATGGACTCAAGGTATGACATGTTAAAAAAAAACGTCCAAATGTTAATGTAAATGTCTCTATCTAGAGTTCTCTTGGACTAGTAGTAACTTAACAATAACAGTTTAAGTATGGGTGAGAAAACAAGCATCGATTTGACGATTTGACATAATCATACAAGTCAATTTTCATCAAACTCAAACATGTCAAACTCAAGGCAGAGCAAAGCTTCTCATTTTCTCTACAACTCTGCTCAGTACTACGGCATTATCGTGAAATTAGGCTCTGAGGGACAGTTCGAACCGGACAACTTCCAACCAGCTAACAAGTCAAATCGCGACCGATATGAATCTGCACTCCGTCGCGTGTCTGCTTCCACAAACTAACAAAGATTACTTCTCTTTTTGGGAATATTGGTTTTTTTTTCGTCAGAACGAAAATTCTTAAAATGTTTCATTCCCAAACTCCTCTGACGAAATAAACCTAAATAAATATGAGATTGGATTTATTTCGTCAGCGGAGATATAGATCTAGGAATATTTTCCATATTCCTATAAACTCCTATGACGAAATAAATCTAAATAAATATGAGATTGGATTTATTTCGTCAGAATACTACAGCAAGAACCGCCCAAACAAAATAAACTGCATAATTATCAAGTAATTATGAAAAATAAATTTTCAACTCTCTTTACTTACTCGTGAAATAAGGCTCCGCCCTGTACAAACCTATGGAAGACGCTACATAGGTTTGTACAGGGCGGAGCCTAATATCACGAGTAATTAAAGAGAGATGAACTTCGCCAACTCTCTTTACTTACTCGTGAAAAAAGGCTCCGCCCTGTACAAACCTATGGAACATGCTACATAGGTTTGTACAGGGCGGAGCCATATTTCACGAGTAAGTAAAGAGAGTTGGCGAAGTTCATCTCTCTTTAATTACTCGTGATATTAGGCTCCGCCCTGTACAACTCTATGGAAGGCGCTATACATAGGTTTGTACAGGGCAGAGCCTTATTTCACGAGTAAGTAAAGAGAGTGGAATTATTCAACTGTCTTAATAGTATACAGTTTTTGATTTTACTGATGATGTGTGGAAGCAATTTATGTGTTTTTGTCATCTTGCTATTGCGATTATAAAATTTGAAACGCTCTGCTCTAGACTCTAGATTCTAGCTATGTTTCCGTGATTCTTGTCCGACACTGTGATTATTGTTTCTAGAAAGTCTATGGGAAAACGCGTGGTGGAAAGAAAACCCAAGAAATCACCGCTTTTAAATAGAGTTTCGCATCGTAAACAAAGGAAATCCATTCAAGATTAGTAGACCGAGAAATCCATCGAAATTGCCGTAAGTTTGGTGCTGTGAAAATAGGAGTCCTCCAGGCCAGGCCCAGCTAGGACCTAAACCACGATATACTATAGCCAGTACTAGATCTAGGTCTACTACTAGTTTGTCCAGCTTAACAGAAATCTGGGCATACATAAAAAAAAAAGGAATAGTTTTCTCAACACATGACTACCAGACTACGTTGTTGTCTCAGAGTCAGAATAATGTGGCACAGAGCCTCAGAGCCGGGGTTTCAACCATGTTGAACACAGTCCCACATATGGAAGTTTCTGTGAGTGTGAGTTGAAAGTTGGGGGGGGGGGGGGAAATAAGGGGAAAAAAGTAAACTATCGTACTTCCTGTCATAACTTATAAACTAAGGTCAGAACTAGAAAAGAGGCAATACAATTTTACCTTTTAAGAAGCACTCTTCTCGTCTTGCAGGATGTTTTGCAGCGAATAGGGGTCCGCTCCTCTGATCTCGTTGTGATAGAAGACATCACATCATCAGTAGCCTCTGGTACATCGACATGACAGCGCAGCACATGCACATTGCATGTACGTGCATTTAGTATGCACTGATATATGGGGGTGATGACGTCACGATTTTTTGACAAAATTTTGTTCCAAAAGGGGTGTATATTTAACATGGAGCCAAAACTTTTTTTAAATTCTGTGTCAGTTTCTCACAAATACGAAAAAAAGACCCCCACATGTAATATAATGAAAATATAGAGCCTAGTTTTTTAGTAATTAAGAAAAAACATGAAGTCTCCACAATGTAGTTTTGTAACTACGCCAAATATAGGGAGACAAAATGTCCCTTTGATTATCTGCAATTTATTGACCCCCTCAATATAATGGACCAGGCTATGAAACAAGCGGGGAAAAACGGATGCAACCGATATGTGTTGAACTGAGCTGATCTGTTTGGAAAGTACGTAAAATACATGCTGAAACGTTAGGGAGACACAAAATTGTCTCCCTATTCATTTTGTCTCCGTAATATACCTGCTCAAACCCCCTATTGTCTCCCAAAGGTACCATCCACGCTAATATATATATATATATATATATATATATATTTGAAACAAAATCAAGCCGTCTGAAAAATGATGGCGCTCTTCAAAAACGAAATTAAGCAAAGTTGCATTATTTCATAATACCGGCTGTATAATAGGATTTAAATCTGTTAAACTTATACCGCAAACGCTGTTATTTTGGCGCGATTAATTTTTTCGCGCTGAGCGAACCCAAAACATATTTGCGGGTTCTTAAATTCGTGTTGCACTCAATTCAACCCGTTCATAACACGCAGAAGAAGTCATGCTTATATTTTCACGAGTTCTAAAATTCGCGCTTGCCGATTTAGCGCGAAATCCGCGAAAATTAATGTACCGTGAATATTTCTACTTTTACAGTATTGTCATATTTTTGGAAGGAAATGGAGAGAGAGAGAGAGAGAGAGAGAGAGGGGGGGGGGAGCTGAATGGGAGAGCGATTGGGTGAGGGAAAGAGCTAGGGATAGAGAGAGAAAGAGAGAGAGAGAGAGGGAGAGAGAGAGAGAGAGTGAGAGGGTGAAAGAGGAGTGGGCCTTTTTTTTATAGCACAAGGCCTATATGAAATATTTAAAAGAATGACGTCGTGTCAATTATGAATACTTATATTCTTGACCACACGCGTATGTACATACGCGCAGATTGAGATCATATTTTACACCAAAGACGTTTATGAAATGTATATAGTAGGAGTAGAGCTATGTATATAGTAAGGTAGAGCTATAAGTTGCGCGCCCGCTAGCGGCCGCATTTTGATTATAAGTCTGCTTTCTCCTAACATGCATGGTGCATGACTCAGTATTGGTTTATTTCTATCACAATATTCTTGTGTGGCATAAGGAAAACAAGGTTTTCTTCGTTTGTTTGTTTATGTAATTTGTTTTCATTCTTTCGTTTTTACCCTGGCCATCAGGGTATGATAGTTGCACAGCATTTGGATCTCTAAATTGATAGGGCCTATAATTCGTCCTTGTTTTCACGAAGTGACGGTAGTGAGGAAAATCGTAACGCAAAGTGAATGCAATTTTTTTTCACTACCGTCACTTCGTGAAAACAGCGACGAATTATTATGACCAAAATTCAGAGACAAATTTGAATGGAGCCTTAATACGTCTACGACTTCACCTATGTGTGGAATAAGGAGGTGAACGAGGGTTTAAGGGGAGACTCGACCTTATTGACATTGACAGTGAGTCGCGTTGAATATAAATTGGGAAAAGTTAGAAAAAAAGTAAGAGGTAAGAGGTAAGAGGACACATTTTTTTTTTTTTTTTTTTTTTTTTTTTTTTTTTGGGGGGGGGGGGGGGGTCTCGAAATTTGAAAGTTGGACATTTTGTTTCTTGGGGGGGGGGGGCGTAAGGTCACCTTTTTTAGGTCAGCCATTGGCATAATTTTTTTTTAAAACTACAAAAAAAAGAAAAAAAAAGGGGGGGGGTAAATTTGCTCCAAAATACACACATAAACAAAATGAAGGGGGGGGGGGGGGTTTAACCCCCCCCCCCCCACCCCCCCCCCCCCCCCCCCCTGCGTATGCGCCTGATCAGGCCTAATGGCATAATAAAGATAAAACCGTCGCTCTTTGCTGAACCACACGCATGTTTCATCAAAGAACAATTGTTCCTTCATACCAGCAAAACAATGAAAACAAATCAAGTATAGGCTAATAGGCTCAATCGACCAGTAAAATTTGCCTACAGTGCGTTATAATCTGTGTAATAACTGGATAATGGCGTTCGAGGATAATTGATCTGGGTTTGCCGGCAAAGTGATCAGCTTGGAGAGATGTTTACTCAATAATCTATTTTACATTGTAATGGGTAAATATATGGGGTAAATGGTTGGGTGAAAATAACCCAATTGTTGGACAAAATTTGCCCGACTTACGTTTGCCCAGTAACATCTGCCCACCTTATGTTTGAACATTCAATTGGCTAAGTACTTTAGTAAATGGTAAGGAGAAAATAACCCACTTGTTGGACAAAAATAGCTCAACTTCAGTTTACCCATTAACATTACCCAATTATTTCATCGGTAACTACATGGTTGGTAGAAAATAACCTAATTTAAAATCGGACAACATTTGCCTAACATCGATTTGCCAAGTTACACCTACCCAACCTATTTTTAACCTTTCATTGGATAACTTCATATAGGAAATGGTTGGGAGAAAATAGCCAAATTGTTGGAAAAAATTTGCCTCACTTTGATTTGCCCAATGACATCTGCTCACACTATGAATATAACGGACAAAGAAAGGGGACAAAATATACAGTTCCTCAGGTAGACAAAGGAACATCCCTTTACTGCTATTATGTAAACATGTGTAGAAAAGCATGTGACACCTGTTCTACACATTTTTACATAATAGCAGTGAAGGGATGTTCCTTTGTCTACCTGAGGAATTGTATATTTTGTCCTCTTTCTTTGTCCGTCATGTTCATAATGTCAACTTTCTTTTACAATCAGGGATCATCCAGCCTTGGTTATGCAATGATTTGAATATAATGAAGCGGAACTAGCGTTTAGTCTGACCTTCTTCATGATGGCATGTATCAATAGTCCGTACCAAGTTTATTTTTTAAGACGCCAAAAAAACACTGTTATGTAAACTTGTCGATCTCTGGAATAATCGAATAGTTTACACTTCTTATTTGCACCCCCTATGGATACAACTACTCAACAACAGATGAAGTAGACACGGGGACAGTCACCTTGTATAAAAATTATAAATGTTTATCCAAACGCTTAAGGAGGGGGGGGGGGGGGGGTTTACAGGGAACTGGTAGTATAGGCCTACTCATATTTGACAAATTTCCAAAGGAAGTTGCAAAAATAACCATATAAAACCATATATGAATGGAAAGGTTATATATCAAGGACGATTATGATTGTAAAAATTGTCATCATAAAACGCTAATTAGCATTAAATTATGGAAATTAGCCAATATTTTCAAATCTTAGGCTCTACTGAATATCATTCACACTAGAAAGCTGGTTTTACCACAGACGTTCTTTTAAAGGCCAACTGCACTACTTGTAGCTACTTGCGCCCTCTATATAACAAACAATGACTAATCGGTGACCTTTGGTTCCCCCATGATCCTCTTTTTCTTATGTTAACTGAGAGCTGAGTTGGTGAGATAACCACCTGTCCAGTGACCTTGCAGGGCAGTCTAATCCCTCCTATAAACTACGGCAGATAAGCGTTAATATATCTCTAGGGCGTGAACTATAAAAAAATGAAAAGTTTGCTCCATTTAACAAAACCGCTAATTTTACGGCTTTCTCTATAATTTTTTCATGATGACTTTTTTTTTAGGATATGGAAAAAAAAAGTATGTAGTTTCAGAATATGACAAAATCAGAAAATTGTTATATATATATTGGTCGAATTTTCATCATTTTTGGCCAAAACTCCCCCTTAACTATACATACATTTTGCCCGGATCTGCGGCCTGTTCCCTCCGGTTTCTAATACTAAAGATTGATCGATGCGCCAACTATTAATAATGAAAAACATAATAAGTCAATGTAGTACGAGATCGTCTCATCGCGCTTCGAAAGAGGAAGCGATCCAACGGTTTTTTTTGTAAATTTGTAGTTTCGTTCAGTTTCAAAAACCAGTATGGCCTATTAAAAATTGATGTCAAATGATATTTTGCAACAAAAGTAAAGACTATGATATTGGTGGCTTTTTTAAAAGCGCTCATGGACGTCACACTCATTGCGCATCAGAATGATTGCCCCAGCCATAGCCTAGCAACCAAAATTCGATAAATAAATAAAATATTCAATAACAAGCGATTGTAGAAGTTCGTTACGCGGTGCGTTGAGAAAGAAAAATCTCATTAATTTTAATACAATTGATAATGATAATGGGTCCCTTGGTTCCGCTCTAAAGAATCACATGACGTCGAGTGAGAGATTAAAAAAAAACATCGAATGTTGTTTATAGTCTAGACACACAGAATTATTTTTCTTTAAATGCCTGTTCACAAGCTCGCGAGTTTTCGCTCAGCGACGGACAGACCTTCTACGACGCGGGAGCACGCAGGGTTAATAGGGACTTTTAGATTGAGTGGACGAGAACAGCGTGAACGTCCACCGATCATGCGTGTCAAGCAGTCAACTGCCACTGTTGACGTACAGATAGAGATCCTTTAGATTTCACTCGACGATATACGTCGACAGGAAGTAAGCGTGATGAAGTCATGAATTGCGCGCCAAATTTCAAAGGAGATTCTGCGCGCCCCCTAATGCAAAACAAGTCACCTCCAGCCGGCTGGGCGGTGCGAAGGCAAAAATCATGCGCACTGCCACTGCCACTAGCTACAAACCTTTCTACGGATGCTATAACACACCGATCAAGCTTTCACAGTTTAAGACTAAAAGAGTTTTAATGAGAATATAGAGAACGGTACCACAAAACTTACTTCAGTTTCGTGAAAACTGTTGTGGCCCAAAGACAAAATTAAATCTCTGACTTTTTTGTCATTCATCTTGAGGCTTGAGATGACGTCACACAATTATGTGAAAACAAGACAGTGCACGGCGTCATGCAGATTTAGGACGACGGGAAAATCAAGGGGGACGCGTTCTAGTCGACGACGGAGACGTGACGCATGCGCAGTGCCTTAAAATGACGTCTCACGTCGCAGTCCACTATGTCGACGTGCAAATCTAAAAGTCCCTAATACGACCGTCGCACACAGACCGCCCTCGTTACAATGAGTGGTTTCACTTTTCGGTGAACGCGTACGTATAGTACGGAGGAGCTGACAACTTGTCTCGACAATTCATCATCCAGTTTAAAACAGTTCGTGTTATATCCATATTCATGTTGTCATAGTTACGAAACAATGATCGAAAACAAAATCACCGAAGAGCTGTTCGCGTTGAAATTCGTCATCCTTCTTTTCCATCCCCTGATGTGATCATCGCATGTAATAAACCGATTAAATCCCCATACCATCTTTGGTACAAGCTCGCTGATTGGATGTTGATTCACTTGGGGCGTCATTGAGAACGCCCGTAGATTTGGCCAAAAACCGTTCTGGATTTCAGTACCTCAGCGGTCACTCCGATGTTACTATAGTAGCTTCTTCACTCCCTGGGGAGCATTCTAGCCAGGCGTTACTTGACGCTCAAAAACTGTTCGACCAACAATGACGGTCGTTTCCTACGGGGCACCCATTTAAAACCTGGATGAAGAGTAGCAAGTGCAGGTAAATATCTTGCCAAAGGATATTATTGCCGTGTCGGGATTCGAACCCTTGACCTTCGCATCTCAAGTCAAGCGCTTTAAACCACTCGGCCACGACACTCCCTTGATAAAGGTAGGTTCGTGACAAGATCGAGACTACCCCACAAAGCTATAACCCTCTTACGTGTGTTAGAGAATCAACTCGAGTTGCCGTCCTGCGTGCTGAATTATGCATGATCTGTTTGATGGGATGACATACATGACACCAAACATAGCATAAGAGCATCAGTCTACGATAGGCCTACTTCAGAATTATTTACTGTGGTAAGTTAATTATATTTTGTCCTATTTTCTGTATTTAAGAAGATTTATGCAAGTGGAGCGTTGGGACTAGCTCTAAATACAGGGTATGTATAGAAATTGACACCAAAATCTAGTTGATGTTAGTGATTGATATTTTGCGGGTGAAAAAATTCTGTATTTTGTATAGATACAATATAATTAGGACAATTTTGAGCGAAACGATTTTATTTTCAGAGACACAGAATCAACTTTCGCACATTTTGGCCCGAATTCACAAAGGAGGTTTAACGACAAACCTCCATTGTGAATTCGGGCCCTTAAGTCTAGGTACAATTCTTAAAACACAAATGAATTTTCCGTAATTTATCTTTCTTGATCATAGCCCTAACGCCTGGAGTTAATGCATTTTTTTAAAATTCATAATAGACACATGGTTTTTTACTCTTCATAGTCGCTAGGAGACAGAGAGAGAGAGAGAGAGAGAGTCAAATATATTCAAGAATTTTGCTACCATCAGGTAAATTATAGTAGTACTATTAACTTGTTGAACTAGATATTGCACACTCATTCCAAATGATATAGAAATCGTGACCGGTGATAACGTGGAATTGCTTAGAAAACTATCTTCTATAGCTATGATTAGTTTTGATCAGATTAGTTTTGTAGAAAAGGCGGGAATGACAGACCTTGGACTACCATTACTGTAATAAAAATAATCCCAAGCCTTTGTATTTCATTATTAATAAATGTGTCACAAACACTTTTGATGGATTTTGCATCATTCCGCAAACAGGTTGAATAATTCATTTAATAAATGAAACCGTTTTGCAGTTACAAACATATTGGCTAGTCCAATAGTCCTAACCCACAAGCTCGTTCAGTTATCTGTCTATTTGGTGATGAGTTTTCTCTTTGGTGTACTGTATGCCTTAAACTATTCAACATCAATTTAAATTTCATGATTCCATGAAATATAACGTGCAACATGTTGCCTCCCGGGGCACAGTTTTAAACGCCATGATCTACGTTAGATATTAACCCTTTGTCTATACGGGAACCGGGTTGGTTCTGTACTAAGCCAATGGGAATGACAGAATTCAGTAGTCGAAGAGTTAAGTCAGTTGCATTTGCCTGCAATGCCTCCTTAGTTTCACAAGGAGGGAGACAACAAGGAGCGGCCCGTGCCTTGAAAACCCTTATGAGATGCCTTCAAAGTTTTTAGCCAAGAAGCATTTAAAGGTACTATGTCCCTTTTGCAGCCAACTTCAAATTCTGTAGAACTTTGCAGGAATTATGAATATATCATGTATGTCCTATCTGAAAAATTTAAACGTTAGCAGTGTCCTAATATTCAAATTATGCAAGGAAACCCGTTTACTTGCTAGACTTCACTGTCAGACACTATGTCTGACTGGATTTTTCTTCTTTGGTAATAACATACATAAAATGAGCTGTAAAGGGTACATTAGCATTTGTCTACATCAATAACCCACTTCTTGTGATGGCTTAAATTAAACTGATTGAATCTTCGCGCAGCATAAAACGTATGACCATTCGGTACAATGGTCTGAAATTCAAGACTATTACTTATTGGCTCTATAGCTCCTAAGTCGATTTGACAACTAATAGTCGTTATTTTCCCTCTTGAAGACATTTTCAAGCCCCACCTTTTTTAGGGAAGTTCTAAATTAGTATCATCTTTCAAATGCCGTTGGAATTTAACCTTGCATGTCAGGGGGACAAAATTAGCACAGATAATTTTTTGTTGTTTTGTTTGTTTTGTTTATTTCAGTGCGATGTTTAAAAAATACTGCCTTTAACCGCTAGGCTGTTTTCAGCAATTCTGTAACCAAGAGAAAACAAAATTACAACAACCAAAAAATAACAATTACAAATTATTAAACAAAATACAAAAAATACACGTTATATACAATTTTAAATAAAAAAAGGAAAGAGAGATAAAATAGAAGAAGAGGAAAAAGGGAAACAAAAAGGACTTACGAGCAATACATGCCATGGTCGTATCTCTGTATGTTTTTAAATACTCATTGAGAGGATAATCGGATGCATTTTTTAAAACTCCGGTAGCTTTGTTTGCGTTTTTACAGTTTGAAGGAGGTTATTAAATAAGACATAAGGAAAAGATGTTATATTGCCCATTGCGACCGACCCAAAAATCTTGATATCTACGGTCAGCTTTTTAGACAAGTTTTTTTTAAACGATTTTAGAAAGAAAAATGTTTGATGAATTAAAAAAAATGTATTAAAGGATTCAAAACTAAGAAATATCAGCCCAAAAAGGAAGAAAAGAAAAAAATATAAAGAAAAAACTAAAAAAGATTTCCGACCCATGTTTTGGCACCTACACTCTAAAAAATCAAGTGCTAATTTTAGCACCTCAAGATTTGGAGGCAGCACCTGTAAAGGCACGCATAGGGACTGCCCAAATTGTGCTAAAGTAGCACTTGTACACGTGCTATAATTCAACACCAGTCCAAGTGCTACTTTAAACACTTTAAGTGTAAGCCTTTTTACACTTCAGGTGCTATTAGACGCATGCAGCTCGCACAAACTACACTTCTAGTGCACTAAATAACCCCTTTTAGAGCCCCCAAAACAGCACTACTAGTGCTAACACTTTTGCACCCAATATAGTGCTAAAGAACAAACATCATGCACAAAATAACACCTGTGGTGCTGAAAACTCACCCTTCTGTTAAACAGCCCTAACATTATTTTCAGCCTACTTTAAGCACCTAAAACATACTCCTCAAGACGCCACATGTCACACTCATGGTAACGAATGGGTAGTCACATATATGAGTTTAAAAGACTCACTTCTTTATTGACAAAAACCATTGTAAAATCACAACATCCTTTCAAGAAGTAATACATGTATTTGTATCCAAGGGTAAAAACACAAAACTGTTTCATGCATACTGATAAAACATTAAAGCTCAACTCAGCTGCTCATCACTGGAAAGTCATCATAATGGATAAAATAACTGATCAAACATGATAAGCTGATACAACAACACTGCAGGGTTCCTGCAGTCTGTGTCCGAAGTTTTTACTGTTACATTGAGATTGCACATTTCTATGTCAATATACATGAAGTGATAGTCTTGCTGCCATGTAGAATGTTGGAAATGGTATCATCATGCACAAGCAGAATAATTAGGCAATGAAAAGAATACCTTCTCAGATCCCCGCTCTTTTATATAGCCGAGTGGCGACCTATCTCATGTGAATTTTCAAATTACTTTGAATTTCTTTTGTGTGAAGCACTGCCTTGGCACCTGGAACACACACATTCAATACACTTTCTTTGTATATTATAGTACACAATCTCCTTCCACCTTACATTCTCCAAAAAGATGAATACCTTCTCAGATCCCCGCTCTTTTATATAGCCGAGTGGCGACCTATCTCATTTGAATTTTAAATTACTTTGAATTTCTTTTGTGTGAAGCACTGCCTTAGCACTTGGAACGCTGGTGCGCCTGCGCATGGAGCGCCAGCACTACCGGTGTTAACTTTCTTCAAGTGCTAAAACAGGCAGGGTCACACTTCGGGTGCAATTTCTCGAATAGCACGTGTTTCCAGCACTCATTTTTCTGCTCGTTATCGCTTCCCAAACGCTGCATGCACGCCAAGGGCTAAACTTGGCACGTGTGGTGCAAATTTGTACCCAGCACCTGTGATTTTTTAGAGTGTAAAGGGCAATACAACATCTTTGTTTGTTTAGGCCTATAGTAACTGACTGTCAGAGAATATTGTGTTTCTTTCCTTCTAAATGTTAGTGTGGGGTTTGGGAAGGGAAACAATCAGGGACCCGTTTCGTAAACCCTTTTCCCAATGAAAAATGACAAAAAGCAGCAACAAATCTGCTGATAACTAATCAGAAGCAAGGATTTCACTAGCTTATAACAAAAACTGTCATTTGTCATTTGTCACTGATGACTGAATTTTTGTGAAATGGGGCCCTGTTCTACATTCCTGAGGGAGTGGTGCGTTTGTTTAACTTCAATTTGGAGCTTAATAAGATCAATACAATTGGAGCTTAAAATTGTGATACCACTTTATGTGGAGTTTTGCCCCCCCCCCCCTCCGTTTAAAAAATCCTAGATCCACCCCTGATTATAATACGCGAATTTTCATCTGCTGTCTTTTTCTTGTGTTCAGGTGCATTGATGTACGTCACCAGGTGAAGGGATCGCATCCTACAATGGCCACCTGTGCAAGTCCAACCGCTAATGAAACGACTCGCCTTCAGGAATTTACCGTTGTCCATGCCTTCTCTATAGTATACTTCATTATTGTAATCGTTCTTGGAACTGTCGGCAACGGTCTGCTTCTCTGTGTCTTCATTCACAACCGGGCGCTCTGCAAAAAATCCATCAATTTTCTGATATGTGCCAACACCGTCGTCAACTTCCTAATCTCCGTTCTCCTCGACCCCATCATTGCTGCGACCAACTTTGTACCGTGCCTCAAGAGCCACCGGGCGTTGTGGATGGTGCGGAAGTCATCTGACTTCTTCCTTGGGGTCTGTGCCGTTTCGTCCATCTATACTCTAACAGCCGTAGCTGCGAATCAGTACTTGCTCATCTCACGACCAAACACCACGTATAGACGATGCTGTACCGGTCGCAAGGCTGTGTCGATTGTCCTTACAGTGATCTGGCTTCTCGCGTTAGTTGTTGTGATTTTATTCAAGTCTATTGACAAGTGTTTGATCCGGTTTCCAGTCAACCCAGAGATCGAAATCACTTTCCTTTTACCATGCATCCTCAACTATTGTCCTCTGGTCGTCATACCGTGTTTTCAATGGGGCACTGTGCGTACTATCCGAGCCAGTCGAGAAAGAGTCGAAAACAAGGCGGCGCCAAGCGCAGCAACAGTGCCCACAGGCGTACCATCAGTTAGTTCCCCACCCGAGGCAAGGGGTTTGCCTCTCGATGGAGGTCCGACTACGTCAATGCCACTCGAAACTACCATGGCAGCAGATAAAAATGACGACGACGAGGAGAAGAAGGTTCGACGTCGAGGAAAAACCGAACTGCGGACGTTGAGAACGATGATGGTGATGTACATGATCCTGGTGGTTTCCTGGACACCGTCACTGATAGCCGGGGTGATACCTGTGTCTGAGGGATCGGAGAAAGTGCTCGACCTTTTTGGATTATTCCTGTCCGTGTACCCAGCCTTGATTCCATTTGCCTTTCTGTGGACAAACAAGAACTACAGCAACGTGCTAAGAAAGAAAATATGGTCTAAGATACGACCACAATGACGCGATTTCAAGATATTTAGAATTTTTTTAAATTTTGTTTGAACGTTAGTATAAATCGGAAATTTCTTGTAAGATTAAGCGTTTCCTGCATCTGAAAGAGTCACACGCTTGAGAAACCTATAAATGAGCTAGGCTTATGTAGCACAGTAATATAGCTGTTACGAACCTCATACATATTCATGTTTGTTAATTATGTGTATTCTATCAGCAGAAGACTTGCTGGTGAAGAGGTGTATTTGATTGAAACCTACGTCCGTGTTTTTTTTCACAGGTATTTTTGTTGTTGTTTGTTGTATTAATACTTGTGCTAATAATGTGTTGTGAAGTGCAGGAAGATGTGGTTGTATAATCTTATTTAATTTCCTTCCCCAGAAAACTCATATTTATATGAACAATTTTGTGCGGACGGTGAAACACGATTAGGGCTCACTGTGAGGCGTTGAGAGATCGGAGAACGGTGGGGGGCCGGGGGAGACCCGGCAAAAGTTTTGGGCATGCCAAAAACTTTCGCCGTGTGCCACCGCTTGTACCCTCACGGCGAGAACCCGGTTTAAGGACGGCAATACGAGGCCGTTATGACACCCGTTCTTGGGGCGGTGACGAAGTGTCATATTTTGTCCAACGGGTTGTCACCGTGTTCATAACGGCCTCGTACCGGGTTCTCGCCGGGCTCTCACCGATCGCTCAACGTTGACCAATCGCCTCATTCCCGCTACATACCCGTCCCTTACCGGTTTCTTAACATTCAACCACTCTCTTAACGAACGTCCTCTTACCGTTCCACCGTCCTCATAACGTCTCCATACCGGCCTGTTGCCATGTGTTTTACATTGCGTCTGTTAGAAACCGTGCCAGACACCATTACTCCATATTATACTGAATAAAAATGCTTCCTATGCTGTTTCCTGCTGATCAAGAAGCTTCCTATCTTTACCCCCCTCCCCCCTCTCAGCCCAGGTCAAAGTTCCAGTTGATACCAGTAAGGGTTTCCAACTGGTAACTACTGGTTTCTGCTACATGGTTCAGGAGCTACCTCAGTGGTAGAAAACAGTTTGTATGTATATATAGATGGTTCGGAATCGACTCTTCAACCAATTATCTGTGGAGTCCCTCAAGGTTCTTTTATTAGGTCCGTTCCTTTTTATTTTATACATCAATGATCCCCAAAACTCTTCTGAAATCTTATCATTTACTCTTTTCGCGGATGACTCCAATTTATTTTGCTCTCACAAAAACCCAGAAACACTTCTAAACACTGTAAACACCGAATTAAATGCGTTTTAAATGGATCCAGGCAAATCAATTGTCGCTTAATATAAATAAAACACATTTTATGCTATTCAGTAATTCTGTATCATCCTTACCAGGTCATATCAACATCAATAACGTAACTATCAACCAGGTTGAGTCCACCAAATTCTTAGGTGTCTATATTGTCTATATAGTATATTATATATAGACAGTAAACTAACATGGAAAGTTCACATCAATTGTTTATGTAAGCTGTTGTCACGGAACTCCAGTGTAATGAATAAGTTGAAACTTTTGTACCTCCTCATGTCATGCTTCTACTCTATTCTATTTTGATCTTAATTATTGTATACTCGCATGGGGGAATAGCTCTATAAGCCTTATGGACAAAGTTAATGTTGTACAAAAACGGGCTGTTAGAATAATAAATAATGTTGGTTTTCTTGCTAATACAAATATGCTTTTCTATAATTGTAATATTCGTAAAAATATCTGACTTGCACTTATATAATATTGTAATATTTATGTATGAACTATCGAAAGATAATTTACAGGATGCTTTCGTCCCTCTTTTTCAACGCAACAATACTATACATTCTTCGTTCGTTCGTGTCTGCTTAGATCAAGATTAATGTAATCTTGATCTTCGGAGTAGTTGCTACAACCGGCCGTATCAGACACTTTGCCCCGGGGTGCGAGATAGGACTCTTGTAGCGTGCCCCCATTTAAAACAATTATACAATTACAGTTAACATTACATTTAATTAATAGTATAAAACTATTAAAATAACTCTCATGTTACGGGAAAAAAATATTGCATATATATATATATATATTATGAATCAATTGATCTATACATTCTTACCCTACTAGACAGAAAACCATTTTCATCTCCCTCGAACTCGCATCGTTTTTGCTAACAAAACAATTATATTTTACTGGACCCAAATTCTAGCACAGCCTAAAGCTATGGTCACAAATCAGAGCAGCGACCGACCGATCATTAGCCTGCTCGGTCGCTGCTGGAATTAGGCATCGCCCAGCGATTAGGTCGGTGCCCGGGCGGCGACCGCCCAGGCACCGAGCGTATTTTGGGCGGCGAGTGAAAAGTGAGCAGGCGCCGCCCAAATTTTAACTCCGCGCTAAAACTTCAGCGGCGACCGAGCGATGCCCTGAAAACGAGCGGTGCCTGGGCGGACGCCGCTCGGTGGCCGGGCAGCCGCCGGGCAGAATTGGTTAAAAACTCGCCGCTCGGCCTCCGAGCAGGCTACTTTTGGGTAATGTGACCATAGCATAAATAACGAACTAGTTGGAAGCCCCTCCATTAATTCATTTAAACGAAAGCTCAGATGTTTCCTTTTGAGAAAGTATGTATAAGAGTAATGCTGATGTCGCGCTGGATCGTACAGGTGGTTATACAGACTTTATTTTTGTTATTTAACAATGCCATTGATTTCATCAATTTGCTTTCTCTTCTTTTTCTTCTGCCTTTTCTTCTTCCATTTCTTGTCGTCTTTCTCTTCTTCTTCTTTCTTTCCTTCTTCACCTTCTCCTACTTATCATTATTATATTATTATCTTTACTCTTTATTCTATTGTTCTTTTCTTCTCAAATTCACTCTCCTTACATACGTCTCTAGAATCTCATACTAGACTACTCCGTTTTCGCCTCCTATAACACCTTTTAAATTCAGACTTACTATATTGTGTTACTCAGTACGGGAGCCTATTCACATACAAGCTATGCTTTTTATTTAGGCTCCCCACATTTTACATTGTTTTACCTTGCCTGTTATATCTACATATCTCGAAATTTCGTACTTATTTTCCGTACATTATACTTGATTTGAAATCTTTATTTTTTTTTTTGGTTTGAAATCTACTCTTATATAATAAACGCCTGTATAAAAAAAAAATCAACAAAGAATATGAACTGTTTTTTTTTAATGTAAATAGTGGAATAAATAAACTTCAAACAAACTTCAAACTTCAAGCCTTTCCAAGTCTTTTTTATATTATTTTTTATAGTATAGAATTTCTTATAAAAATATTCTTGCTTTGCATGCCTAATGTCGTTGTTAAAATAATTTATAAAGTATTTATGATTGCTCTCACGAGAAGGAGATGGATTCAGAATAAATTTGTTATATAACTTGTTTTTCTTTTAAACCTCTTTCTAAAATCATTAGTTAACGAAGGTGTAATGCAACTACTACTTTTAAAATAAACTTTCTTCAGAGGAAATTATTCATTATACAGTTTCATAAAGGATTGTAGAAAAATATCATATATTACATTAATATTAGGTTCATCATAAAAGTCATCAACATTTATTGCATGAAATGTTGCACTGAACATTTGTATACCAAGTTCAGATATCTTCCTACGGTAAAAATCCAGAATCTGCCTGGTCCTTTATAATTCCCTACACATTTGATTCAAGCCGTCGAAGATGGCGTTATCAACAAACTCATAATTATGCTCACTAGCCAATTGTCACCAGCCAAGCCTGGCGGCGCATCCTGGCGTCCTAATTTAATGATCACGCCATCATCGGGTGGTAGCAAGTAAGTAAGGAGAGGTAGCGTTGGTTTGGTGGAGATCAAAATTAAAATCAAAAGGCCAGATTCTGGACTATCAAGAGAAATGCATGGAGGATTCCTGAACATGATAAGGAACGCATAAATGCCATAGTTTTTAATCTCATTTTAATTGCAGCGATCGTTCATATACACAACAGCATGATTAACGCGTATTAAACATTATATTTTAATATAAAAATAGCTTAAATAGATGATCATTAGGTTACTTTAATAAATACTAATAGCAGTTATAAGAATCATATTTAGCTGGTGTGCAACATGACCAGAAACTATTTTCCTTCATTATAGACATTGGGGACAGTTTTTTTTCATAGTGAATTCAAAGCCCGCGTTCAAATTGAAAAAAAATACTTGGTAAACAAAGTCATAGAATGTTTTATCATGGATTTTCGTTGTTGTTGCAGAAACGTGAATAATAATTAAACTATATATCAAATAGTTTGTCTTCAAACTATAACAATGTACCTGAAATAAATATTATCACATAAAAATCATTTCACGTTGCATGTATCTCGTGTGGTATATCGTATCCAAACAACTCAAAATCAAGGCGATAACGTTCGTACAATTTCATGACGTCATCATCGGGTAATTGTGCATAATAGGGGATGACATAATCTGAACTATTTGTGGGGCTACTGCCAGTCGATGATGGGAATTCTACGGCATTCGAAAGACTGAGCGACTCTAGAACGAATTCCGCATCCGTACTCATCGTTTCGAACTTTCCAATAATATCATAGTTGATACCACACGGTGAACACATCTTATACATTTCCATCCAGTGCTTGTCGTCTTTGCCTCTCAAGTTTCCCTCCTCCCCAAGAAATTTGACAAAATCTGCAAAAGTGAGGCTATAATCATTATTTGTAGAATCGGGATGAAAGTGTTCAAAGATGCCCTCACCGATCGTCTTCTGCCATCTTCTCGCTCTATTGAATGTAGTATCTGGGGCTAGTTTGTTCTTGTATGCCGAGAGAACACGTGACATGGGATGCCTGGCAAACATGATCTTGGTGTAGCTCCTCAAAATCCGTTCTCTCATCCGCCGCGACTGGCGAGAGAAAAAGTTCAGATTCCTCTGTTCGCGATGATTAATTGCAAACTGATTTATATCGTCAGTGCGGCTAATAACCCCTTTAAGAAC